ATGATAAATTAACCTCTTTCACTCCATATTTAACCTCTTTCACTCCATATTTTTGGAGACTAAAAAGAAATGGACCAAGACGAATCCATTTTATCATTAATTTACATTCATTAGGAATATTAAATTCTTCCTTCGATAGTGGATTAACTTCAAAAATAGCTATCTTAAAATAACGAAAAATCAATGATAGATATTTCTCATAATCAAATTACACGTACCATCAGCATTAAAGTTTTATTCACAACTGGATGTTGCTAATTCACAAATATTTAATCAGCGTTTATTTCAAAGTCTTTCTACATTGATTTCTTGTAAGTGATATCTAGATTTTTAATATTAATTGTATAACCAACATAGAAAGTAACAAATATAGTTAAATTTATATAAATTATATAACTAACGTAGAATGATAAAAATAATTAATATAAAAAGTCTTTTGTATTAATGTAAGTTTGACTGAAACGAATATGTTAATAACACACTATTGTAAAAAAGACTTTTTACGTCGGTTAAAATGGGCTTTCGACGTCAGTTAAAACGGCGATATAGATACAGGGTCATAGAAAGTAAGACTTTCTACGTGAGTTCTTTGACTAACCGACGTAGAAAGTCTTACTTTCTATAACCCTTGTATCTATATCGGTTAACAGTAACCGTGATTGTATGTGATATCAATGTCGGTTATGCTTATAACCGACATATTTAAACTTTCTACGTCGGTTAATGACATAACCGACGTAGAAAGTGTGTATTTTTTTTTTACATAACCTGCATTTTCTTCACAGATCCTACCTTTCTTCGAGTAGACCTGCCTATTCATCATAGTTCCAGACAGATATTCACAGTTCCAAACACTTGTACAAACAGATATGCACAGTTCATATATAGTTCCAGACAGATATGTACATATGAAACATATTGAAATCAATATATATATACCTCATAGTTCCCGACAGTGCATTTACTTAAACGAATGTAAATTTGCTAACTTAAATCAATTCAATCAAAATTGTTACAAGTCAAATTTGCTATGAAGATTGAATACTTAAAAGAAAAGAAGTCCACTGCTCTCTAATATCGTCTAACACTTCAATGGAGATGAGTATGTAAATTCCTACATATTGAAACATTTCAGATTTAGAAACCATTTACATAATTAACATATTTGACTTAATTATAGTATATTTACCTCCCTCCATGAGTCAATAATATTTGTGGATACGATGGTGTGCATGTGCTTCATCACATAATACCCGCACTCATGGCTTCTCGGTTGGCGTGGACACTACAAGTTAAATACATGTCAGATTAACTTTAAATGACAAATTGAAGAACAGTAAGAGAAATGTTTGATCATGTTTGGTGCAATATACGTCAACTTCTTTCTAACATGAGATGGAAGGCCTTACAACATTAGGTGAGCTTCCAAAGCTCTACAAAAGGACAAAAATTAATTATAATAGAACCTAATTTTGGTGTAAGTGCACATATGATACAACAATTAAAAAAACCAAACTTACGCGTCTATGTGCTTTATAATATCCAAATCATTTGGTTTCTTGTGTAATGAACACAAGAGAATCACAAGAAATTGCCGAGGAACAATGATTATGAGCTGCCAATGACCCCTGCACGTTGAAATAATATTAGTAAAATTTCAGTTTTACATAAATGTGCATTAATTTATAAGATGTATACTTACTGATGCAAGTAAGGTGCTAAGTAGACTTCTTTGCCCCCATTTTGAAATGTCTCTATTAAGTACATTTGCACCTCTTCAGCTTTATTCCCAACGGACTGAATGGCAACAGGGTCAACAAATCCATAGATAAAGTCAATCTTCCTCTCAACACACAAACGATGTAAATACCTTCAACATTGAAAATAAATAAAGTTATAAAATAATGTACCAGTGAGAATATAAAAAATATGTAAATTTACTTACAATTCTCAAAGTTGCAACACTGATACACATAGCATATCAGTACCAGCGAGAATATCAAAAATATCCCTTTGGAGTAAGAAAAAAGGGATCGTCTTGGTCCTACATACGACTTCGAGTGGCATATCTAACTGTATGGGAGTGGTCCCGATAGTCGTTGCTAGTGCACCGAGTCGCTGTAAAGCACTCGGTGGTGGTGGTGATTCATGCACAACTTCCTTTACTTTTTCAGTCTCTTTCTATACAAGTACCAAAAATAAATAACATTAATATACATCAACATATCAAAAAATAATAAGTAAAAGGGATAAATGCATGACACAACCTATGCATGTGTTGGGATGGGTCTTGTTAATGAAACTGGCCATAAGATAAAATTTCCAGGTGCCTGTCTCACTGTTTGGGGAGAACGGGGAGTTCTGCTATGGGTGAAGTGATGAAATGGAGTGTTGCAGCGAGGGTAAAACATAAGATACTATGTCGGTTGCCCTAACACCAGTCATCAAATACACTTTCTATGTCGGTTAAAATATAATCGACATAGAAAGTGAACTTTCTATGTCAGTTAAAATTTACCCGATATAGAAAGTGAACTTTCCCACTTACCATGTCGGTTACCTATTACTCGACATAAAAAATTTATAATTTTATTACAAAATTGCCACCGCGCTACATACTATGACGGGTGGACTACGACCGTGATAAAAACTCGTCTTAGAATCCTATTTTTTCACTAGTGACACATGCATTAAATATAATATATTAATAATAATATTAGTATAAATAGAAATAAGGTCTATGAGTTGCTTATTTAATTGTGACAAGTTTGCCATGAACTACATAACTCACCATCATGTTAGTCATTAGTTACAGAAATTTAAGCCAAAAATTATACTCCAAAATCAATTATAAGCAACAATAAAAAAAAACTTTGTAAATTTGAATATATATAAACATATTTTAACTATTTTACCATAATTAATAATATTATCTAAATTAATTGGAATTAAAATTTCAATCATTTTTTTACTTTTGATATCAAGTTTCAAGTAAAGGTACTTAAATTTTTTTAATTAATTTTTTTAATTAATACAAAATATGATTTATAAAATTAAATAATATTAATTAATTTTTTAATTAAATAATAAGATATATGATTTGATTTATATTTGAATTCAAAAAATACATGTCATTAACAACATTTACACCTCATAAAAGTAAATAAATACTAATTTATTATTCTAGGTAATGAATTAACTATAACAAAAATTTCTAATCTCTTAATATTTTGTTTAAAATGATTTTTTTATAAAACAAAAAGTACATAATGACGTAACAAATTATCAGATATTAATGAAAATTAGGCCATATTTTAAAATATAACAAAAATAATTAAAATTTATATTGAGAAGATGTGTCTTTATGCATAGAACTGAAGTAATATCAATCATACAACTCGTTTAAAAGGAATATCCGAAGAATATAATCTGTCATACAAGTAATTCAAAATATTAAAAAATAGTCGCCAAAATTTGTGTCAAAATATTTGAAACATTAATTTTCAATAACTGGTTGTGTGAATATTAAAGAAATAAAGTATATAATTAGAGCGTTATGTAATGCATATGATGTCACATATATTTTAATGTACGTACTGTGTCTAAAATGATTAAAACAAGTATTAGGTTAAATAACTTCTTAAAATGAAACTTAAGTTTATAATATAACTAGCATTGGCAAGTTGTTGCCAAGAAATGCATAAATGAGTTTACTACACTACAAGAAAATCGCATATTACCGACGAATATTTACCGACGGATTTGTAACCATCAGAAAATAATTATTACTGATAGAAATTACCGACGGATATAAAATATTTGTGGAATTTAATCTTACCGACGGATATATCCGTCGATAAAATAATAATTAGTTACCGACGGATATATCCGTCGATAAATCCGTCGGTAATTTACAGATGAATTTACCGACGGATATATCCGTCGATAAATTCGTCGATAAATTAATAATTAATTACCGACGGATATATCCGTCGGTAAATTCATCTGTAAATTACTGACAGATATTTCCGTTAGTAAATTAACAATTAGTAAATATTCAACTAATTAAAAAATTAAATATTTTTTATTTAATAATTTAATTTAATCATAATTAGATTAATTTATAATAATTTCTTAAATTAAATAATTTTAAAAATAAATATTTAATTATATAAAAATATATAAAAACATATAAAAATATTTAATTATATATAAATATATAAATATATATATATATAAAATATAAATACATAAATATATTTGTATATAAATATAATTTATTTGTAAATTATTATAAAAAAATTCTGGTAGTTTGGTAGTTGGAGTATCAGCCTCTAACTCTAAGATATTGGTTTCGAATCCTGCCAATAACAATTCTCTTAATTGAAGTTATTTTATAAAATAAATAAGCTATATAAGTAAAATATTTAATAAATAATAAAAATATTATAGACGGATTTTAATTTTATAAACTGACGCAATAGTCCTTATATATTTTGTTATATATTTTGTTTAGTGTGTTTTTATATATTTTGTATTTTTTAATGGTTTTTTCTACTTTATTGTGTACGTCTGTTTGTGGGTTTTAAGTAGCCCTCGTCCTCCATTTAATTGATTTTATTTGATTAAAAAACAATTAATGGACACGTCACATGTCACATAATTCCTTCATTCCACTTGATGTAGTAACAACAATAACGTTGTGTAGTGCTTTTCAAACATGTTTACTGAGGTCTGATGTTGACTTATTATTTTAATTGGATCAATGAACTAAGCAATTTTCACAATACTGTTTACCACGCGGTATCCCATCTCGGGTCGTTGGTCATCGTCTTTTAGGGTTTGGCGCGTTGCTTTACTATTAAAGTACTGAATGCATCAAACTTCTCCTAAGATATCTATCATACACCCTTTCTCTAGCCATGGATTCTACCTCTTCTCTCATGCTGTCAAAATTTCCAAGCTTTTGGTTGTTTGTTACAATCACTTGCTTTACCATTATGGTCACAGCCCTAATACCTAACTTGATTCAGAAATATTCCAGGAAACAAAAATCAAAACTTCCCCCAGGTCCCAAACCATGGCCTATAGTGGGCAACCTTCCTGAAATGCTCTCAAACAAACCTGCCCATCAGTGGATACACAACCTCATGAAAGAAATGAACACAGAAATTGCATGTATCCGCCTAGGAAATACGTATGTTATCCCAGTGATATGTCCCACCATTGCCAGAGTGTTTTTGAGAGAACAAGATGCAATTTTTGCGTCGAGATCACTAACCACATGCACTGATCTCGTTAGTAGCGGATACTTAACCACAATTTTAGTGCCCTTTGGGGACCAATGGAAGAAAATGAAGAAAACCTTAAGCAATGCTTTGCTTTCCTCGCACCAGCTCCTAAGGTTCCATGACAAAAGGAATGAAGAAGCTGACAACCTTATGTTTTACGTCTACAACAAATGCAAAAACGTTAACGATGGTGTCGGTGGCCTTGTGAATATTAGGAGTGTTGCAAGGCATTATAGTGGCAACGTCATCAGGAAACTTGTTTTCAATACAAGGTATTTTGGGAAGGGTATGAAGGATGGAGAGCCTGGTTTTGAGGAAGTAGAACATGTTGATTCCATATTCGTTTTACTTAGGTATCTTTATGCCTTTTCTGTTTCTGATTATATGCCATGCTTGAGGGGACTTGACTTGGATGGCCATCAGAAGAAGGTGAAAGAAGCTTTGAGAGTCATCAAGAAATATCATGATCCCATCGTGGAAGAAAGAATTAAACAATGGAATGATACACCAAAGGTTGATGAAGAGGACTGGCTTGATATTCTGATCTCCTTGAAAGATGCCAACAATAAACCGTCATTGACGTTGGAAGAAATCAATGCACAAATTATAGTAATATTTCACTTCTCCCTTTGTTTTATTGATGACTAGTATTTTTGAACACCCAAATTAACACGCATTATAATATTTCATTAATCTATACTTATCTTCATAATCATATTATACATCCATTACATCCCTTTCTAGTCAACGATCAGCACACACTAGTTACAAAAATCATTTTTAACATCGGTCTTTCCACATCGATTTTAAGAAATGTAGAAAGTGAATTCAAGACTTTCAACATCGATTCCCATATGAACCGATATAGAAAACACTTTCTACATCGGTTCTGAGATGAACCGATGTAGAAAGTCTTTTTATAAAATTAAGAGAATTATTACTGTAGTGATTCGAACCAAGTACCTTGGAATTAAAAACTAATACTCTAACCACTAAACTACTAAAATTTTTTAATAATAACTTATAAATAAATTATATTTATATACAAATAAAAATGTATATCTATATAAATATATAAATATAAAATATATAAATACAAATACAAATATATTTATATATTTATATGTTGGATGTGAGAGCGCGCTCGAGAGTGAAAGTGTGTGTCAAGTGGGTTTTCAAAATTTGATGTCAAATTTGTGAACGAGTCTCTTTATATGAATTTGTAATTTAATGATAGAATATAATCTTTATAATTTATTTATAATAATATAGAATATAATCTTTATAATTAATGTATATAATTATATAAAATAAAGAAAAAAATTATTTTATATCATTATATAAATAAATTATAAAGATTATATTTTGTCATTAAGTTATAATACATATAAAGAGACCAGCTCACAAATTTGACATCAAATTTTGAAAATTCACTCAACACACACTTTCATCCTCTAACACGTCCTCACATCCAACATATAAATATATAAATATATTTGTATTTATATTTATATATTTTATATTTATATATTACATGGATATACATTTTTATTTGTATATAAATATAATTTATGTATAAGTTATTATCATAAAATCCTAGTAGCTTAGTGGTTGGAGTATCGAGTACTTGGGTTCGAATATTGTCGGTGTTAATTCTCTTAATGTGATAATAATTCAAATTACTAAAAAATATAAATATAATAATAAATAATAAAAATATAATATAAAAGGGAGAGAAGACCTCTATATCAATAGATAGAGTAATTAGAGAGGGTTATAAATAAATAAAATAAATAAAAATATTAAACTTTTTACATCAATTCTTTACCATCGATATGAAAAGGGACACTTTTAACTGTCGATTTTAGAACCCTATTTTGTACCAGTGACATGGGTGGGCAAGAAACATTTTTATTCTTGTTCATACATCAACATGTTCAGTCGACATATAATATTTGATGAGGATGGATTTCCTAGCTGTCCCCAATTAAAAAGTTACACGGTTAAAAAAATTCACTTTTTCACTGTTGGTTTTTCTCTCACGTATCAATATTTATTTGGGAAAACAGGGAAGCAGCCAAAACAATGGTGGTTCTATTTTATTGCAGGCTGAAAATATAAAATTGAAAATCAATATTGTTGAATGTCCTTGCAGGACTTATTGATTGCAACAGTAGACAATCCATCAAATGCTTTTGAATGGGCACTTGCTGAAATGATAAACCAACCTAAGTTGCTCCAACGAGCCACTGAAGAATTGGACAGTGTGGTGGGAAAAGAGAGGTTGGTGCAAGAATCAGACGTACCAAAGCTCAACTATGTAAAGGCATGTGCAAGAGAAGCTTTTCGCCTTCATCCCATGGCACCTTTTAATCCTCCCCATGTCTCTCTGAGTGACACAACTGTGGGAAATTACTTCATCCCAAAGGGTAGCCATGTAATACTAAGTAGAAAAGAACTTGGAAGAAACCCAAAAGTTTGGAATGAACCCCACAAGTTTAAACCAGAACGTCATCTCAATGTGTCTAATGTAGTTTTGACAGAGCCAAATTTGAGGTTCATATCATTTAGCACAGGAATGCGTAGTTGTCCCGGAGTTATGCTTGGCACCACAATGACCGTGATGCTGTTTGCTAGGTTGCTGCATGGCTTCACTTGGAGTGCACCATCCAATGTTTCAACAATAAACCTAACTGAGTCCAAAGATGATATCTCTCTTGCAGAGCCTCTTGTGGAGGTTGCTAAGCCAAGATTAGCACCACAACTATATCAACTTTAATTTAGCAGAATAGTTATTTACCCAAACTAGTACATATCAGGAAGCAAAACATGTTTAGCTAATAATTGAAATGACGAGTTCCCGGAATAAAATGTTAAATATAAAATGTAAATGACTGTGATGTGTTATATACAAAATGATTATTGATGGTTTGGTTTACGATGATGATGTAATACAATAAGAATGGATTCGAAATTTTCTTTAGGTTTTTTAAATTATTAACGTTAGTATCGCATCCAAAAAATTGATAATTGAAATTAATATATGTTACCACCAACTACATAAATTAATTGGAATGTTTGGTAAAAAAAATTTGTTTTGCTTAAACCTTACTTAAAGTTAAAATTCAAAATAATAGCTTCAAAAGAATTTTACAGTTTTAACTTAAATCTTCCTTTAACTTATAAAGTTAAAAGCTTTAATTTTTTTTTTGTCGCTCATACATTTGTTTAGGATGAGGAAAAACTAAAAAAAAAAACGTTTAGTGAATCTTTTCTAACTAATTTAAAAAAAAAAATCCAACGAATCTTGTATAATAACATACTAAATTGAAAAAAATTATGAGTCGCTCACCTTATTGGATTCTATAATTTATGGGTATGAATAATTCAATTGTATATAATTCAATTGAGTTTATATATAGGTGTTATATACGGGTGTAGTAAAATATTTTATTGAAAAAATTAAAATAAAATATTGATAGTCTAAATTACTAATATTTCTTGTTTTGTTCTCACTAATATATTAAGAAATATTTTGTAAACTAATTATCCTATTTATAAATCATATATTTAACATAATTTTATAAAAAAATAAAACATAATTCAATTTATTATATTTTACATAATTTTAACATTAAAACATATACATAAATTATATTCGTCCTCAATCAATTAATATAGGATTTCATGACATATAAATCCTGATCAAAAGACAATAGACTAAAAAACGCTCGAGTTTTACACGAAGACCCAATTACACAATGTTACTTAGTCTATGGACGCAAAAAAAAAAAATAATCCATAGAGTTTTAAAATAAATTATAACTTGTAGATATTTTTTAATTGAATATATTAGTCATAAATAATTAAATAATCTAATATTTAAAATATATATTTATGTAATAGAGTAATTTAAAAAAATTAAATAATAATTATTGTTATTATTTAGTATGTTAGAGAAAAAAACTGAAATTGACGCTTTCTTCTCTCGTTCAAACGAAGATGAGAAATTATTACAGGTAATATTAATTATCCGTGACAAAAGTTAGGTAGATCGTAGTGCTTGGATGATTACTCTTAAAAAAAAAGATTAGACTTTAATTAATAATTATAGTTTTTGGCTAAATGATAAGTTATCCATCCTAATAGAAATATTTTAAGTTACAAACTAATTAATAGCATGCCAAGTCATATTCAGAACCTGTTGAATTTTTTATTTTTTTTAATTTCATTTCTCATGAAGTTTGCTATAAAGCATGAAAAAAAAAAATTCGAAAGTTGATATAAATTTAATTACTAAGCCACGGCTCGACTCACACCTTCCAAGTTTCAAACCCAAATACTCGCATTGAAATGGATTAATCAAAACAAAACACTCAAAATCCATGCAACCAACGTTTAGTTCTTATTCCCATCTCAAATTCAAACCTTTTAACATTTCACAATCAGATTCAAAACAATGATAAAATAAAATATCAACAGCAAAACAATTCATTGCAGTTTGACTTTATCTTTTTTAAATGCAATTAATATGCAGTGACACTGGTTATGTAATGATCAAACATCGATCAAAAACATTGGCAATTTCATATTTATTAAACTCAAGACTGAATCCAGTGTGACTATGAAATGCAGTTAGAAATGAATTACATGGTAGTTTACTTGCATTCAGTGGTGGATCTTCTTGACATGGAAAGTATTGAAACTGTGAGTTTGAAAGTTGGAGGGAAATGCCGTGGTAATAGCAGTCTTCATCTTCATATTTGGGAAACAAAGTAACCATTCCTCTTCATCTTGGTATTTCTAAACATTAATAGCAGTCAAATTTGAATTCAAATTCTTAACCAAACGCTTTGTGAACTTGTAACCCGTCCTTCACTTTCACGTAAAACACTCGAAATTTTTGCATGCCTCATGCAAATCCATTCTTTCACTATTATTACTTTCAACCTTCAGTTAATTAAAGATATAATTGAGTTATAATATTGTTGAATTATTCGCAAGCGTATCAAAATTATCAATCGCAGCATAATATTTCGATTAAATAAAAGTCGATCCCACGAAGAACAGTTTCAATGAAAATTTCCAATTATGTTTACTAAGTAGATTAAAACATATTGGTTTTTGTAATATGAGTTGAATTGAAATTAAATGACAAAGAACTGTAAATTGTTGAGAAAATATCAATTAAAGGTACTTAGAATTGACTTTCTTCCTTATCCCTCTTTTATAATAGTTATGTCAATTAAGAACGTCAATTAACCTAACAATGTTGATGTCACCTACTCAAATCATCCATGTTAATTCCTCACACATGAAATTCATAAGAAAACCTAATAAATGTTGATTCCTCACACAATTAACAGATTTTCCAGCATTAGGGTTAGGGTGTTAAACAATTGATACATTCATTTCATTCCTGACAATTAACGTAACAAATATTCTTATCGTGATCTAGGGTTCAAGATATATTTTCCAATCATACCCCAAACATCAAGAATAAATCATTCCAAAGCATAAATGATAAGAATAACCACATCAAAGCATAGATTAATATCTCAAAATATCACCATGATACAAAAGAGTTCAAAGGAAGTGCACCGAATCCTAAGAGAATGAAGTTAGTCACTCATGTTGGCCATTACAATGCTCCAATTGATGAAGAAGTGAAGAATTGATGAAGATTAGACGAAACCCTAACAGTAGTCGTGCCTCCTCTTCTCCAAGACTGCTTCCTTTTCTCAAAACACAACTTATCTTTTTTATAAGAGAATTTGGGTCGGGCCTCGCATCTTTCATTCGCTTAAGTGTTCTTCTTTCTTTTAATTTTACTCCAATTATGTTGACAATTGTGTTCCTTACTCTTGTATCAAGGTATTCTCGAATTCATCCTATATTGGGAGAAAAATATATTAGAATTAACATAAGTTAAGTGGTTTCATAACAATTCAAGGCATAATTATATCAACTTTTTACCACTTAACAACTTCCCCAAACCTAGAATTTTGCTTGTCCCAAGCAAAGTAATTTTTCCAAAACAAAACCATCGCCTATTGTTGAATTATTGACAAGCGTACCAAAATTATCAATTGCAGTATAGTATTTCGATTAAATAAAAGCCGATCCCACGAGGAACGGTTTCAATGGAAATTCCCAATTATGCTTACTAAGTAGATTAAAATAGATTGAGTTTTGCAATTAAGAGTTTAATTGAAATTAAATGACAAAGAACTGTAAATTGTTGAGAAAATATCAATTAAAGGTACTTACACTACTACAGAAAACACTTACTACGACAGCATCCAACGTCGGTTGTTATGAAGACCGACGTTGTACAAGACGCGGTGGCAAACCTGTAATTAAGAAACAATATTTAACGTCGGTTATAACAAAACTGACGTAGTAATGGACAAATAACGTCGGTTAGATAACAGACGACGTTAAATGTTTAAATTTAACGTCAGTTATGTATAACCAACGTTGAAATCCCAAAATCAACGTCGGTTCCATGATTTACCCGACGTCGAAAGCATTATCCACGTCGGGTTTTTTAATAACCGACATCGAATGTCCTAACATACCTAGCCTCCAGAGCGCGCAGTTGTTCTTCTGTTTCTTCTTCGTGCTCTGGTCTCAGTTCCTCTGCTTCTTCTTCGTCATCTGCTACCTCAGTCCTCAATGCCGTGCGCTGCTCCCTCAGTTCTCTCCTTCTTCGTCGTTCGTTGTTTGACGTGGTAATGCCGCCCCCTAGCCGCGCTCTTACACGACTTTGCACCGCCGTTGTTGCCGTGTGTGTGGTACCCCTCGTTTCCCTAAGGAAACCCCTTCTCATCAGGTTAGATTAAGCTGATTAAGTTGTATGGATGATTTACAGCATGCATTTAACATAAATATAGATTATTTAGAGCATTTCCTGCATATGAACATTGGAAAGATGATGGATGATTTTGTATGGTTTGATTTGATCTAGGTTCCTTTAGGCTTTTGGAAGTTTGTTTTCGGTTTCGAACTGGTATATACTAATGTAGATGTACACGTTTTATTTTCCCATTCTTTACGTGGGAAATCGGATGTAGACGTTTTTTTGTATTGTTTTGCTAAACCTTTTCTAATAAACCTTGAATATCTAGGCAAGCCCTTTTGTGTAGTTAGATGGATCGAACTTGGGTCAATGCAAGTCGCATGTCGGAAGAGTATGAGAATGGAGTTGACTCCTTTTTGAAATTTGCCGAAAAAATGCTCCCAAAATGAATGGAAAAATCTATTGCCCATGCGTTAATTGTGTAAATGGCAGAGTACAAGAGATAGACACAACGCGGGAACATCTTATTTGCGATGGGATGATGAAGAATTACACCATATGGACATGGCACGATGAAGTGGTTGATATTCCAACAGTATCACAAACTATTGAGGATGATGTAACCTGCGAAGATCGAATAGAGGACATGCTTTGTGATGTGGGTCAAGAGAGCTTTCTTGAAGCACATGCATCTATATATGATACATTGAGGACCGATTCAGAGACACCTTTGTATCCCGGATGTACAACTTTCACACGGTTGTCATCTGTGTTAAGATCGGTCAATCTAAAAGCAAAATTTGGTTGGAGTGATACAAGTTTTAATGAATTACTCCAACTTTTGAAGGAGATGCTCCCAGACAATAACACCTTGCCAGACCATATGTATGAAGCGAAGAAGATACTTTGTCCGATGGGTTTAGAATATAGGAAGATACATGCTTGCCCTAATGATTGTGTGTTATACAGGAAAGAAT